AGAAATTCATCTTATATTTAAAAGGTTTTATGATAAGTGTTATATATAATTTAACTGGTTAAGGAACAAATTTTCCATAGAAGTTTTTTTTTTAGGATCACTTAAAGGAATGAATATTAAAGAAAACAGCAACAAAAAGCTGAATGCATATAAAACACAATAAGTAAGATCAACAAATATCCAATAATTGTGTATATGTAGCAATTTTTACACTTACCACTTTATTATTGAAGGCTTAGTTTTAAAAAATATAATGTAGTCTCTTATCCACTCTCTAAAAAGTTGAGAAAGTCTTATTCTTGCTATGCCATTTTTTCCAAAGAATGAGTCTGATATTTTTAAAGAAGTTGTTAGACTTATGAAACTCCTAATAAAAGTTATCCTGTTTGAAATTTAAAAAATAATTTAAATATGACACTTGACATACTACTAAATTATTGATCTCTATTTTTGATAGTATGAAGTATAAAGCGAAAAAAGCCAAGATTATGACATTAAAACATGAAAGATTGTGTGTACATTCTTTGTAATTTGTCATGAATTTACAAAGGTGATTAAAATATCTTACCTATCAAAAATATATAATGTTTAAAAAGAATCCCATTATAATAGCACCAAAAATGGTATAGATCAGTTTCTTTCTGAAACATTTGCTGCAGTGGTTTATATGTTTTGATGGTGTTATTATTATTTTTGCATAAAGATTCCCAACAGTTAGATTTTCACTATTCTGGTCACTTCTTTGTCTTGTCTGATGCTCACATTTATTGGCTTCAGAGCTAAAATAGGCCGAATTTCCCCTATGTGCCAGGATCTCCTCTGATGGGTGCAGCAAAATACTAAAGACAGAGAGGAACTAGCAGAAAAAGTGTAGATCATGAATGATGACAAAGATTGAAGCAGTCATTTTCTTTGTTGCGTGAAGATGCTAATGGTAGAGATGCCAACAGTGTTTTATGACCATAAAAGGGCTATTTAAAATTTTATTTGTGTATATTAATTGTACAAAGGGATTTCACCATGGAATTTCCAAACAGTATATATTGTTCTCTGGCCAGACTGACACCCCGTTTCACTTTCTTTTCCTGGTATCCCCTCCCCTTACTTTTAACAGTTTTTGGTGAATTTCTTTGTATCTGGACACAATATGCTTATTTTCCCTCCCTTCCTGTTTGCCTTACCCAACAATCCCACACTTACAATTATATTGTATATCACACACACACACACACATTCTGTATAGGGGAGAGAACATGTGATATTTGTCTTTCTGGATCTGGCTTATTTTGCTTAACATATTTGCCTGCAGAAGACATGATTTTATTCTTGTTAGTGGCTGAATAATACTTCACTGTGTATGTATACTACATTTTCTTTATCCTTTCACCTGCTGACGGGAACCTAGGCAGAGTTCATAGCTTGGCTATTGTGAATATTGCTATAGTGCACGTGGGTGTGCAGGTGTCTCTATTGTATCCTGACTTACATTCCTTTTGATATATAGTCAAGAGTAGTCTCACAGGTCAAATGCCAGGTCTCCTTTTAGTTTTTGAGGAGCCTCCATATTGATTTTTGTAGGGGCTCCACTAATACATTCCCACCAGCAGTGTATAAGGGTTCCGTTTTCCCTCACACCCCTTCTGACCAAGGTGACATGCAATCACAATGTTGTTTTGATTTGCATTTCCTTTATGACCAGGGATGTTGAACACTTCTTTCTGTATTTTTTAGCCATTTGTACTTTTTATTTTTTTTGTAGTACTAGGGTTTGAACTCAGCACCTCACGCTTGCTTAGGCAAGCGCTCTACCACTTGAGCCACTCCTGTACTTCTTCCTTTGAGAAGTATCTGTTCAATTCATTAGCCCATTTATTAATTGAGTTATTGGGGTTTTTTGTTTAGTTTTTTTAAGGTCTTTATGTATTCTGGTTGTTATCTCTTGACAGATGGCAAAATTGTCTCCGATTCTGTAGGTTGCCTCTTTAGTCCAGTGACTGTTTCCTTTGCTGTGCAGAAATTTTTAATTTGATGCAGTTTCATGTGTCAGTCTTTGTTCTTATTTCCTGAGCTTTTAGAGTCCTAGGCAGGAAGTTGTTGCCTATGCCTCTAAATTCCTGCACTATAACTTTCTTTTTTTGTTACCTGATTTTGGAATTAGGATAATCCTGGCTTTGTAGAATGAGTCTGGTAGCATTGCTTCCCTTTATATTTTTTGGAACAGCTTGAGGAGACATTGGTGTTAGTTCTTTTCTAAAGATCTGGCAGAATTAGGCAGTGAATCCATCCAGTCCTGGGGTTTTCTTGGTTGAGAGACTCTTTATTACTGCTTTAAATTCATTGCTTTTTATAGGTCTGTTTGGGCGGTAGAAATCCTCTTGGTTCAATTTTGGTAGGTCTCATCCATCCAGAAACATCCCTTTCTTGTTGATTTTCCAGTTTATTAGAGAACAAGCTCCCTGAATTTCATTGCTCCCTAACACTCCCTGAATTTCATTGCTGTCTCTTGTGATTCCTCATTTTCATCTCTAATTTTATGAATTTGGATCTTCTTGCTTCTTCCTTTAGTTAATTCAGCTAAAAGTTTTCTCAACTTTGTTCATCTTTTCATAGAGCCAACTCTTTGTTTCATTGATTTGTTCTACTACTTTTGTCTCCATTTCATTACCTGTTGCCCTTTTATTATTTTTTAATTTTAAAATTATTTTTTATTAATTTTATTATTTCTTTCCATCTACTGATTTGGGGTTCGGATTGTTCTTGTTTTTCTAAGTGCTTGAGGTACACAATTCGTTAGGTTTTTTGAGATCTCTTGATTTTCTTGGTTGAAAGTTATTTTCTTTCAGAGGTTGAAACATATTGTCCCATTGCTTCTCTAGTTCTTAGGTTTTTTGTTGAGAGCTCTGTGGTTCCTATGTGTCTTCCTTTGTATGCAAGGTGGCATTTTTCCCTTACAGTGTTCAATATCTTTTCTTTGTTCTCTACCCCTGGCATTTTAATTATGACATGACAGGGCAAGGTTCTTGTCTGGTCATGTCTATTTGGGATTTGAAATGCATCTTGTACACTGGTGTCTACATCTATCCCCAAGACTTGGGAATTTTTTGGCTATAATTTCTATGCCTTTAGTTTGTATGTCAGCTCCTTCTTCCACCTCATGGATTCTTTGGTTAGGTCTTTTTATCATGTCCCAGAGTTCTTGACGGTTGTGATCGTGGTTGTTTCATTCTTTTTTCTTCATTGTTGTCTGAGCACAATATTTCCTTGACCTTATTCTCCATCCCTGCTATTATGTCTTCTGCTTGATCTTGTCTGTTGATGATGCTGTCTACAGTGTTTTGATTCATTTAGCTTTTATTTCTAACATTTTTCATTTTCTTTCTCACAATTTCAATTTCCTTGCAGAATTTCTCACCCATGTTTCTGACTTTGTTGTCTAGGTCTTGAATTTATTTCCTACATTCATTTATCTGTTTGAGTCCTCTTTGAGGTCACTGATCATTTTTCAAAGTAGATATTTGAATTCTTCATCTGGCATTTCAGCCAATTCAGTACCTTAGAATTTGGAAATTAAGTTGTTATGAGTTTTGGGGAAGTGATATTGCCTTGCTTTTTCATATAATTTGTTTTTCTATGTTGTGACTTCTATGTTGTGGGTCTCTCTTTTACTCTATTCAGATGAGAAAGAGCTAAGAGCAGTAATAAGTTCAATAATTCAACAACAAACCAGATATTTAAGTGTGAAAAACCATTGGAAACCTCAACTACCTCCTCAATCAGATGTGCAATAAAGTACTTTGGGCGCTTATGGAGCTTAATAAAGGATGAAGGTGTTGGTATTAAAAATTAAGTCATATGGGAACATGGGTGGGGAAGGAAAGAAATAGGAAGGTAGAGAAAGAGGAAAGACAGGAAATACTAGTGTGAAAGCACTGCTTAGTTATTATAGAGAAATACACAATGGTTGGGGTTGGGGAAAAAGGGAAACAAAATAAACAACCACCACAAAAACAAACAAACCACTCTATGTTACTTGCTGAGGAGAAGTGTGAATACACACTGGGCCCTGTCCTGTGTCTGAAATTTTCCTTCCATCCTTGACCCTCAGACATCCATGTGGGGCTCAGCCCCCTGTGTTTGGTACTGACTCCCTCTGGGCAGGGGTCTGGAACAATTCCCTTCAAGGTGCAACCTGCCCCTGTGGGTTGGCGGTGGGAGCTACAGCAACAGCTTCAGGGGGTGAGGCTTCCTGCAGATGGAGTTCCTTCAGAAGCATGGATCCAAGCAAGTGGTACTTTACAGCCATGCGACATTTTGGCTCTTAACTCCACAGTGAGGCTGCCTGGAGGAGTGCAAAGTGTGGCCTTCTCAGCATGGTGGCTTGTCCAGCAGGCAGGGACGATTAATTCCAGGGCAGGGAGGGTAGGGCCCAGGGGCTTAGAGAGTGTGGGTTGCTCATCCCCCCGAGGTTCCTGCTATGGGATGCCTGCCCTCTTCTTCCAAGTGCTAATTTGTAGGCCAGTTGTGAGTAGTATGCAGCCTGCCATCTCAAGCAGCGCTGTCCATGAAATAGTCAAAATCCCCACCGGTTTGCTGGGTCCACACTGAGTCTCTTTTGGATCTTTGCTTGATTAGTAGAGTTGAGGAGATCTTTGGAGGTTAATGGTAGAAACGAGCAAAAACAAACAAAAAAACCCAAATAGCAACAACAAAAAAGCCCAGAACAAAGAAAGGCAAGGTCTTCTGCTCTTTCCAACTTGAAGGTTTTCTTTATGACCGCCCCTAAGTAGACCCCCCAAGGCAGATCCAGTGGTAAGTGAATCCTCCAGGAGCTCCTTCTCTGGCTTGTGACTGCTGGGAATATCCTCACCTCTATGGAGTGCTGCACATTGGGCCAGTCTCTGTCTCACCAAATCCCTGTACTGGGTTGAAGGTTTGTCAGAGGGTATGGGCTTATTTTGCAGTTGAAATTGCCAGATTGTCACTAGGGCTGTTTGTTTCACCTTGTACCATGTCTTCAGCTTCCCCTCTTCCCCCTCTCCCAGGGTTACTGGGGTTGGAGTTGGAACTCTTTGCTTCTTTTCTCTGTTTCTCTGTGCTTTTCTGCTGTCCTGCCACCTCATTGTGATTCCAGAAGCGCTTCTCTTTCTATTCCGAATAGAGTCTGTCCTGAATTATCTGACTTTTCTCATTCATGGAGTCAAAATGATGAGTGTTTCTAATCTGCCATCTTGCATCTAGTAAGGATTATTTAACAAACTCTTCATCTTCATAGATGGAGAAAGCTTAGAGGAATGTCAGGGCTTGACCAATATCACAAAGACACTCCTAGGTCACTGTGACTCAGAATGCCTTGCTTATTCTACTCTGCCAAGATGTTGCTATGCTTTGGATAAGCATCCCCCAGAGGCCCATGTGAAAAGGCTTGGTCACCAGCCTATGGCACTGTTGGGAAGTGGTGAAAAATTTAAGAGGTAGAACCTAGTGAGAGGAAGTGAAGGTATGTAGGGATACCATTGACAAGGACAGTGTGACTCACCCCTTTGTTTCCCAGCCACCACCAGGAAGTGAGCAGTCCCCCTGCCATGTGCTCCTGCCAACACAGGCCCAAACAACAGGACCCAGTGAACACAGAATGAAACCTCTGAAACCATGAGCGAATATAATACTTAGTAAGTTGATTACCTCAGATATTTTGTCACAGTGAAAGAAAGCTGACTAACACAGAGGCTCAGTCAATTATCAGTAATATTGTTTAAAAAAATGATGTAGCGTTTAAGAATGACTATCCATAAAACAATGCTGAATTTTTCTTCATCTGGTAGGCAGTAGTATAAATAAAAATAATGATACGCATAAATTAAATAATAAAGGTTTTTTATTTTTGAAATATTTTTATTTGTAATTTTGAATTTTAGACTAAAGAATATTATTATGATTTTCAATGCACTTTTTGAGTCTTACTATTTGAATGTCATAGCTGAAAACCGTAAGACAAAGAGATGTAGGCTGAATTTTTCTCACTGTTATAGACTACTTGGGTCCTTAAAAATGATTTGTAAATTTATAAACTCTTTTCACAATATATACTTCTGCTAACATAACTGAGTATTACAGTTTCATGTCATCCCTCCATTTCTAAGTTAGATTTTGTAAGTTCAGCTGGAACTGGTGGCTCATACTTGTCCTAACTACTCAGGAGGCAGAGATCAAGAGGACCGCAGTTCAAACCCAGCCTGGGTAAATAGTTCACAAGACCCTATCTCAAAGAAACCCATCACAAAGAAGGGCTGGTGGAATGGCTCAAGGTGTAGGCCCTAGTTCAAACCCCAGTACCAAAAAAGAAAAGATTTCATAGGTTCAGGAAACATTATATATTACTGAAGGTATATTTGAAAATCTTACTTTAAGATGTTGTTCTTTTCCAAACAACGATGAGTGTATACCCACGTGCTGGAAAAGAGATGGTTTATACTGGACTCGTGTTTCATGATTTCGTTGCACACAGTTTCTCTGGGGAAAAAGACAAACAATAATCTTCTGTAAAGGCTCAAAATATTCCTTTTTACTGAATTTCCTGATTGCAATTTTTTTATTATTTTTGCACCAGCCATAATTTTCCTCTCCTTTCTTTGAATTCTACTAACTTAAATGAAATTTTAAGTATTTTTTACTCTATCCATTTATGTCAGACTATATAATTCTGCATTTTTCTTCCTGCATTCCTTGATTAATTCTGTATTGAACTATATCCTTCTAAATCATTTCTTAAATAATAGAGGTATATGATTAAACTACTGAGTCTATATTACATTTATTGGAAAAGAATTTGGATTGTCTTCATAAAAATAAAAATAAGGAAGATGGCCTGAGGCAACACTCTTTTTAAAAAACAAACAACATTTGAAATGATTATGATCACTACTGGGGAATTATTTTACATACTTTATATGACATAAATTCAGAAAAAAGAATCCCAAGTTGAGCTACAAAAGCACTTTTAGAGTAGCAGGACAATTTAGATGCATTTCCATCTACCACTGGCAGGTAGCGAAATTTATTTAGGGACCATTTTTATAACTGTAAAATAGCTTAATGATCTAGTGGCAAGTGAACTTGAAGCTAAATTAACATCAAATAAAAGTGAGGAGTTAAAACTCAACTGACATGATAGTATTTGCTAAGCTGATAGTGAAATCCCAGTGTGAGAATACTGTCACATTCTGGCTGTTGATAAAGCCAAGATGCACCCCGCAGAACAGAAGATAGTCTTCACAGTAGCATGACTGTCCAAGTCCTTTGCCTATTTTTTAATTGGGTCATTTGTTTAACGATTGTTGGGGTTTGAGTATTTTATATCCATTGTGACCATAGCTCTTTCGTTGTATACAGGGTTTAGCAATCTCTTCGCCTAGTCTGTGGTATCTTTTCATCTTTTAGCAGTGTATCTTTTTCAGTACAAAACCTTTTCACTTTGATGAGGTCCTGCTTCCTTTCTATTCCTAGTTGGCTGGGAGTTTTTAATCATGAAGAAGTTGAATTTTGTCAAATGAGGTTTCTGCCTTCATTGATAGTAACATGTCATGTTTCTTCCTTAGAATCTTAAATCCATGGAGCTTATGGTATGGTTTTCATATATTAAACCAGTCACATAGTCATAAGATAAACACCAACTGGTATAATGTATTATTCTTTCTATATATTTCTGGATTCAATTCACTGTTCTTTGGTTGAAGGTTTTTTTGTGGCTGGATTAATGAGGAATATTTGTCCTCAGTTTTCTTTTCTTTCTTTCTTTTTTTTTTTTTTTGTGGTTTTGTTTGTTTTGTTGTGGTTTTGTGAGACAGAGTCTCACTATGTAGCCCAGACTGCTTTGAATTCACAAATCTCCTGTCTCAGCTTTCCAAGTACTGGAATCTTGGTTTCCTTTTTTTATACTGTCCTTGTCTGGTTTTCAAATCAGAGTGATACTGGCCTCATAAAATGGGTTTCCTGTTCTATCCTATTTTCTAAGAGATATATAACTGACATTATTTCTTCAAGTGTTTAGAAAGAATTTACCTTTGAAGTCATCCATATCTAGAAATTTCTTTCTTAGGTTTTTATTAATTCAATTATATGATTATCAGCTTGCCTATTTCATCTTGGATGAGTTTTGATAGATAGTTTGTGATTCTTTGATGAATGGTCTGTTTCATTTATAAGTTTATGAATTTATGTACATATAACTGTTTGAAATATTCCTTTGTTATCCTTTTAAGGTCTATGAAGTATGTCAGTATATTCCCTCTGTCATTTTAATATCGGTAACGGTGTCCTCTTTTTAAATGTTAGTCCTGTCAGCAATTTATTAGTGTCATTGCTTTTCAAAGAAGTAGCTTTTGATTTCATTGAGTTTCTCCAGGGATTTCATGCTTTAAATTTTATCATTTTCTGCTTTTATCATTATTATTTTTTCCTTCTACTTACTTTGAGTTAATTTTGTTCTGGTTTTCTACTTTATTAGTGTAGAAGCTGAGATTATTAATGTGAGATCTTTCTTCTCCTTTAAGATTTAAATTTAATGCTCTAAAACAGTTGTTGGAGGCACTGGGGTTTGAATTTGGCCTCACACAAATTCAACAGACAGGCAACTGCTCTACCACTTGAGTCATATCCCAGGCTTTTTTCTTTTATTATTATTATTTTTATTTCTAGAATTGTTATTATCATTTTGCTTTAGTTATTTTTTAGGTAGGGTCTTATGTTTTAGCCTGGGGACAGCTTTGCCACATGAACCTCCTACCTACAGTCTCTCACATAGCTGGGATTACAGATATAAAATACCATGCCTGGCTTATTTGTGGAGATAGGGATGTCACTTTTTACCCAGGTTGGCTTGAAATTGTGATCCTCCCAAACTCTGCCTCCCAAGTAGCTGGGATTACAGGCCTGAGCCACCACACCAGGCTAATACTATAAATACCTATGTAGTGCCTTAGCTGCATCTGTGGATGTTGACACACTGTGCTTTCTCGCAGTTCAGCATTTCTGCATTTCCTTTGAGGTTTCCTCTTTCACTCAGGATTTCTGGAAAATGTGTGGTTCCATATTCAAGTTACCTTTCTGCTATTGATCTCTTATTTAAGTATACTGTGGTCAGGGAACATATATCTTATTATTTCAATTTAACTTTGTTAACTTTTTTCTTTTATGATCCAAGACACAACTATTTTGGTGACACTTCTATGGGCATTTTATAAGAATGTATTTTCAATTGCTGTGGGTGTAAGTGGTTTTTAGACATCAATTAATTCCAGCTGGTGCATGTTATTATTCAGTTCTTTTATTTTTGCTTATTTTCCCTACTAGTGTTGTGGATTACTGAGCGAGAGGAGTTAAAGTCTCCAACCATAATGTTAGATGAGTCCATTTATCCTTTCTGCTCTGTCTGCTTCTGTTTCATGTATTTTGAGACACTGTTGACAGATGCATATACTTTTAGGATTGCTATGCTTCTGGCAAAACCATTTTATCAGCATATAATATCTTTTGTGATCCCTGTTTTGTTTTTGTGGTTCTGAAGGTCACTTTGAGTTTAATAGAGGCACCACTACAAATTTCCTTTGATTACTGTTTGCATGGTTTGTCTTTTTCTCATCTATTTCTTTTAATCTATACTTTATAGTAGAACTGAATATAGATACCATAGTGGTACCATTTTAACAGATCCATCCTGATGATCTCTTAGTTGCTATATTTTGACCATTTATATTTAATGTAAATATTAGGATGATTGAATTTATATCCACCATTATCTTTTGTTCTCTCTATCTTTTGTCCCTGTGTTTACATTTCTCACTGTGTTTTGGTCCTCTCATTACTTCATCTAATATATGGAAATGTCAGTAAAATTTAGGATATTAGAAGTTTGAAAATTTAATGCACTCATCAGAGTTTTTAGGTAATTTTTAGGTAATACATTAGACAGTATTTTCTTAAAACATTTCACATTTTTAAGGTAAAGAAATACTCACAAGATTTTCTCCTTTTCCACACATTTTTACCAGAAAAATGTCTTCCAGGAGCAAATCTATGGGTTTATCTTTGTAGAACATCAAAAAAAAGCGTACAAAGTCAGGTATGTCTTCAGATCTAAATAGTTTTCCTGTGGAGAAAAAGTAAATTAATGTAAATAACTCACAGATAGTTGTCCATTCCATTAGCATGAGAAAAGAGCAAAATGATCATAACTTAAATACATCTTATTCCTTAGAAATAAGATTGGAAGATGACAAAGTAAAGCACTATATCTGCTTAGGTATTCATTACAGTTACCAGTTCTGAAGGGGAAAGTGTGTAAGCAAGTTTAGAGCAGCCAATATTCTCAGAAAATCAACTTTTTGATACCTAATGCAAATTGATTAAGTCAAGTGATAAATAAATAAAATGGAGAGTTAAGAGCTCTAATCTCCTACTTAACTTTGTAAGCTATGATCTTTTATCTGACAGTTGTATCACTTAATCAATCTATGAAATAGTTACCATCAGTGGGTAATTTTAATTTAAAAATGTGTTATTTCAATATTGGAGGTTGCATGATAAGAATGCTATATTAATGACTCTTAAAGACTTACTATATTTTCAGAATATGATTCCATTAAATCCAATTACTTTTTTCTAATACACTGAATCTTTCATTTTCAAATGCAGGTGAAGGGAAATAATTCAGTTAAATGTTCACTTCAAAGTCAATAATGTAAAATATCTCCAGTTATTAAACATGACAGTAGGCTGGAGTCATGTTGCATTTTCCCTGGGACCTTGGATCTCTGTGGATCAGTTGAGCAAGTGTACACTTGTATTTTAGCATGTGCACTCATTTACATGGTAACCAAAGCTAGTGACTGAGTGGTGGAAATAGTTGATTCATTTCCTTATCTGCTGTCAGCTTACTGTAAATTTCTACTTAGCAAGTGTGTATTTTTGGTAAATGGTAACTAACAGAGGTGCTGTTGTGATAACAAAAAGCAAAGTCTTTGTAAAGTTAAGCCTACATCAGACTTTGGAGACACATATATAAGGGATCCTTGTTCAGCATACTTTTGTGATGATTAGGATATAAATATTCTCTATGCCTCTTGCACTTGACTTTGCTGAGAAAAACAAATTCCTGGAGAATTTTAAATTCCCAGAGTAATGCTGCAATGAGATTACTTCCTCTCTGAGCCTCTCGTCAGGTAAACATTTACTCATAATTCTTACTTTAACCAAGGCTGAGGAAAAACATTTGAGGTCTTAAATTGTGTCAGAAAGTGGCCAAGTAGAACATACGGACCTCACTAGCAATCAGAGAGAAGTTTATACCTCTCAGATTGTCCAAAAAAAAAGAAAAAGAAAAAGAAAAAAGATGAAACCAATTGTTGACAAGCATAAGAGGAAGATGAACGCAAATGAGAGCCCAGGTGATTGGCAAAGCATTGGCAGTACCATAAACCAGCTGTATTTGTCCTCAGTGACCCCTCTGCAGGGGACATATCTGCCATTTCATTTTCTTTATGGCAGCAGAAAATTGGCAATAATGAAAGCTGGTCACTCAGAATAAATAAGTCAAAGGAATTATTATGCAGGATGTTAGCAGTAGTAAGAAACATAAGCTGAGCAAACATAAAGCAACATATTGAGAGTTTAAGATCTACTTTTAGCAATAAAAATATAAGGAACAGAAATAGGTTTATCATAATCCCAGCTACTCAGGAGGCAGCAATTTGGAAGACTGTGGTTTGAGAACAGCCTGGGAAAAAGTGTGGAAGATCCCCATCTCAACAAACAAGCTTGGTGTGACAGTACATGCCTGAAATCCCAGTGAGGCAAGGGGCATAAATTGGAAGACTGAGGCTGGCTCTGGGCAAAAAGCATGAGCTCCTAGTTGAAAAAAATAACTAAAAATAAAGAGGACTGAAGGTATGGCTCAAGGGCCTGAGTTCAAACCCCAGTAACACCAAAAAAAAAAAAGAAAGAAAGAAAGAAAAGCTTATTGTATTACAATTTATGAAAATTTAAAACAGGTAAACATGAGAAACACTAACTATTTTACACATACACATGAATACTTATATTTTGAACACTGCTGCACAAGTTCTCCACCACTTGAGTTACACCCCCAGCCTATATTTTGACCATATTAGAGTGAAAACCTCTTAGGAGGAAGGAGAAAATGAGAGGCAGGAGAGGAGTTTCAGACATGTAAATAAGAGCAACTGCAGGAGTCACTAAGGTCAACTGCTGTGACATGGGGAGCACAGCAACTCACCTGGCCTCCCGGAGGCTCAAAGGAAAAAAGAGAAAGAGGACAGAAGGCCAAAAAGTCCATAGAAGACTTGCATCAAGGAAGAATCACACTACAGGCATGGTGTTAGGAACGTTTTATGACCGGTACAAATCATACCCTATTTCTATATTTATTAAGAATGGCGGCCTTGACATACTGGACACTGTAGAGACTTTAGGGTCCAATATCCCTGAGATAAAATTCCTATAAACCGAGCTACATTTCCCCACCCTCAGTGTTCTACACTCTGATGTTTTTATATGTGCAGTGTATATTTTTATAACATATATAGGTTGATTTGCTCATTTATAGTGTCTCGCTAGAAAAAAAAATTTTCTTTCGAAAGTATATTACCTGCAATTCAGATACTTGAATCTGACTTTGCTATCAAAATTCCTGTAATCTATGCAGGAACCACAGCATTCCTTTCAATTTAGCAACGACCTCTTTGATAAGTCCTTAAAAAGATTTAAGGATATTGTGCATTAAAAAGCTTGATCCAACAAAATCGATCTATTGCTTACCTATGAATCCAAGCTCTGAAAACTCAACAAAAAACCAGTTCTCTGGAGCAATATTATTTACAAAATATGCCATTTCTGTAAAGTACATCTTTTTAGCTATGATATCATCTTCCAGCTGAAAAGAAAACAAAGCCAAATAAACCCAAAAGGCATCAGTACCCTCAATATTTCTTTTGAGTTAATATTAGCTTGAAACAGAACACTTAAAATAGAATACACTGAAAAAAAACTTTTTATGAGATAATACTTTTATTTTTTAAAAATAAAATCACTAAAGAGATTTCCAGTCAGCCAAGTTTCGTTCTCTGATTCTGAGACTAACAAGACCAAAGAGCATCTTTTTCTTTTCAAAATTTTAAACTGAAACATTCAGCTTAACTCTTCCTAGGGAAGCTCTACTAGCTCCAATCCATTTTCATCCTCACAAGTACTTCAGTTTCTAGTTTAACACTGTCTTAGTCCATTGGGGCTGTTCTAACAAGACACCATAGCTGACTGGCATATGATCAATGACCATTGATTTCTCAGTTCTGGAGTGTTGGAAGTCTGAGGTCCAGGCGCCAGCAGATGTGTGTCTTCACGGATAGCATCCTCTATGGCAAAAGGGCTATCTTAGCTGTCTGGGGACTCTTTGATCGGGGTACAAATCATAATCATGAGGGATCTGACTTCAGGACCTAATCATCTCCCAAAGGTCCCACTTCCTACTGCCATCACTTTGGAGGCTAGGATTTCAACACAGTAACTTGAGGCACAGAGGCACACGTCCAGAGCACAGCAAAACTAACTGGCTTTGTTCCTGAGGTGAGGGCTCACATGTTCTCCCTCCAGCTATTGTGGCTGACAAAGTGGTTCTTGACAGAGAGGTGATCAAAGGGAGCTGGGAGTGCACTCCTACCCATAGCCAGTTGCTACAAAAATGGAGCAAAGGTTTAGACTAGAGAGGTGAGACTGAAAAAGGGCTTTCATTTTGACTTAACATGCATTACAAGTAATCTGTAGACTAAGAGCCCCCTGAATGATTGAGAAAAAATGTGGACATCCTCAGGTATGTTATGGGGAACAAAGCAGATGTGGAATTTCACACTGGAAAGAAAACACTGGATAGATCTTGTGTTTCTATTGTACTGCCAAGCCAAAAACGATTTTTTCCTCTCAATAACAGCAAAGACCTTTTTTTTTAAAATTTGTTCCTTCTTTTTATTTTAAATTTGTTCTCTCCTTTTATTTTATCATTTTTACATTTACTTACATGTGTATACATTGTTTGTTTGTGCCACCTCCCCTCCCAACCCCAACAACAGAACCCGTTCTGACCTCCTCTTCTCTGATTTTGTTGAAGAGAAAACATAAGAAGTAATAAGAAAGACAGTGTTTTCACTAGTTTGAGATAAAGATGTCTATACAGGAAAATTCCTAGTGTTGCTTCCATGCACTTGCATACTGCAACCCACACTGATTCATCTCTACCAGATCTCTTCACTACTTTCTGGTCTCCTTCCCATAGTGGCCTCTGCCAATTTAAGATTACTATATTCACTCCTCTACAGTGAACACATCAACCATATTCAAGTTTTAGGTTTCCTTCCCTTTCCCTATTCCTCCCATGCACTTTCTCCTTTTAGTGTGTGACCCATGGCCAATGATATTACTGCATTTGTTTTGGGTCTATAATACGCATATGAGAGATAACATGTGATTTTTGACTTTCTGAGCCTGGCTTAACTTCACTTAAGATGATGTTCTCCAGTTCTATCCACTTGACAAAGAAAATACCACATTTTCTTAATCCACTTGTTAGTAGTGGGGCATCTTGACTGTTTCCATAACTTGGTTATTGTGAATAGTGCTACAATAAACATGGGTGTGCAGGTGCCTTTGAATAACCTGAGCCACATTCCTTTGGGTGTATGCCTGGGAGTGATATTGCTGGATCGTATGGCAATCTATGTTGAGTTTTTAAAGAAGCTTCCATATTGTTTTCTAAAGTGGTTGCACCAGCTTACATTCCCACCAGCAGTGTATGAGGGTTCCTTTTTCCCTCACATCCTCACCAACATTTGTTGTTGGTGGTGTTTTTGATGATGGCTATTCTAACAGGGGTGAGGTGGAATCTTAGTGTGGTTTTAATTTGCATTTCCTTTATGGCAAGGGATGGTGAGCATTTTTTCATGTGTTTTTTGGCCATTTGGATTTCTTCCTTAGAAAAAGTTCTGTTTAGTTCAGTTGCCCACTTCTTTATTGATTCACTGATGTTGGGGGAGTTTAGTTTTTTTGAGTTCCCTGTATACTCTGGTTATCTGGTCTGATGTATAGCCAGCAAATATTTTCTCTGTGGGTGGTCTCTTCAGTTTAGAAACCATTTCTTTTGTTGTGCAGAAGCTTTTTAATTTCATGTAGTCCCATTTGTCTATCCTTTCTCTTTGTTGCTGGAGTTCTACTGAGGAATTCTTTGCCTATACCTGTAGGCATAGTATTTTTTTTGGCTTCCACAGTATTCCCTGCTCTTTCCTGTACTAACTTCATAGTTTCAGGTCTGATATTAAGGTCCTTAATCCACTTTGAGTTGATACTAGTACAGGGTGACAGGCATGGATCTACTTTCAGTTTTCTGCAGGCAGATAACCAATTTTCCCAACAATATTTGTTAAAGAGGCTGACTTCTCTATTGTATGTTTTTGGCACCTTTGTCAAAAATAAGGTGGGCATAGATGTATGGATTCATATCTGGATCCTCTATTCTGTTCCACTGGTCTTCAAATCTGTTTTTGTACCAGTACCATGCTGTTTTTATTGCTATGGTCTGTAATATATTTTGAAGTCAGGTATTGTGATACCATAAGGGCATTTATTTGAGATATTTCTGCCTTTTAATATATGCAGTCATGGCTATAAACTTTCCTCTTAGGACTACCTTTTCTGTGGTCCATAGGTTTTGGTGTGTTTTCATCTTCATTAGCTTCTAGGAAACTTTTGATTTCCTCTTAATGTACTATGACCCACTGATCATTGAGCAATGTGTTGTTCAGTCACCAATTATTTGCATGTTTTCTGCTGTTGCTGAGTTCTAGTTTAAATGCATTGTGATCAGATAGAATACAGGGGGTTATTTCTATTTTCTTATATTTGCTGAGTCTGCTTTGTGTCCTAAGATATGATCTATTTTGGAGAAAGTTCCATGGGTTTCTGAGAAGAATGTATATTGTGTTATTGTCAGATAAAATATTCTGTAGACATCAGTTAGATCCATTTGATTTATGGTGCCATTTAGTTCTAGGACTTCTTTGATTTTTTGTTTGGATGACCTATCTCTTGGTGATAGAGAGGTACTAAAGTATCTCCTGCAGCCACTGTGTTGGAGTTTCCATGTGCTTTTAAGTCCTTTAGTGTATGTTTGGTGAAGTTGGGACTGACATTGGGTACATATAGGTTGATAATTGTTATTTCCTTTTGATCAGTCTCTTGTAAACAGCAGATCTTCCTTTTTAATCCACCTAATAGAAAAGATCTTGAACTTTCTGTAACTTTCTTTATGATATTCTGAAAACTTTGCACAAGTGTACAATGACTGTGTGGTGAGGCACATACTTACCATTGGGAATCTAACACTATATTTGACAATACGCAGTTATTGAGGGGATCCAAATCACAAATGACTGATTTATCTTGACAAATAGTAACGCACCATAGAACTGTGTGACTCACAAGTGTGAGGCAATATATGGTAGTAGTGATAGGCACATACCGTGTCTGACATACAGTAAGTGCTCAAATTACATTTGCTTCTGAGCCAGGCATGGGGTGCATGCCTGTAATTGCAGCACCTGGGAGGCTAAGGCAGGTGGGTCATGAGTTCAAGTCCAGCCTGGGATACTCAGCAAAGCCATGTCTCAAATAAATAAATAAATAAATAACAAAATAAATATTTTTAATCTGTAAAATTGTGGCAGAAATTGCATTATAATTTCTACTTCCCCCATCATTTTAGATTTTTCTTTTCTGTTTGCTTCAGGTAACTATAGTTTTCTTTGCTACAGTGAACCCCACAAGGAGATTAATAGATAACCAATTTTAATCATCCTGTGGGCATTTTAATATAATGACTATTTTATACTTTCTTGGTACATAGTAAGGCAGAGAAACACATTGAGGAAGGAAGGAATTCAAGGAGGGAGGGATTAAATAATAGTTTCATTTAAAATTGCCCATATACCACATTTTTACCTGTAAATAATATATGGCCTTGGGTTGGGCATACAGCATCAAAATACAAAAATCCAATACTTGTTTCATTTGCCACCTAAAGATAAGCAATAAAATCTGTTAATATTTCTCATTATTAGCAAACTTTAGTTTACTAACAGCAAGTGTTAGGCACCTTAAATAAAATTGAGTATGTTTTGATGAAGAAGTTATACTAAAAAGCTTCCCATCTTTACTCAGTAGACAGTGTCTACCATTGCTAAACTAGGATAAACATCATCTACATATCTTATGTTTTGGTTAATTAAATTTTGTTCTGTGTTATAAAGTCACTATTCTTTCTGGTCTTAGATATTGTTCATATGAAAGTTTAAAGAATTGTTATTACAATTTAATACTGAACTGGATCTTAGGCCATGTTTCAAATAAACAAAGAGCAATAGACAATGCAGTTTTTGCCCTTAGGGATCTCATAATGTAGTATGAAAAGACATAAAATTATAAGATTAGAACAATTAGATAATTCCTATATGAGGACATCAACAATAAGGGCTGTCTTATGGTGTGATGGGGCATGTGGAGCAGAAACAGCCAGGGCACTGAATGTGGGTGAAAAACACTGCACAGGCCTGGAGTGTGGAAAGATGGAGTGACCTTAGTGTCAGAACTCAGAGGGCAGACAGAAGAGAGGCCGATGGTGGCCTGGTTGTCAGAGGCCACATCATGAAGGATATTTTACAACATGAATGAAAGAGTCTTCTGGCTGTAGTATGGAGAGTGGATCTGAGGAGATGGGAGGCTGGGCTAGGATTGGGGAAAGCAAATTGATCTCAGGTGAAGGCCTGAGCCAAGTCCCAGCCGGTGAAATGGGGATGAGAGGGAGGATGGCAGAGATAAAGGGCTGAGGGAAATCAAGGTTGGGGTTGACTCCCAGCCTTATGACACTAAAAACTGAGCATATTAATGTCTAAATATCGAAATATTTCTAGATTCTGACATGTCATATATAATTTAAAACAAAGGAAAGCTATTATATTCCAAGAGAAGAGACCTTTTTCTGATTTTCTACTTGTCTTCTCTTTATTAAGTTTTGAGGGACCCATAATACATTTCCCATAATACCTACCCCATGCATTCCCAAAAATACATAATCCTTTGTAGGCACACAGAGGTTTTCGTTTTTGAGATTACTATCATATTGCATTCTCTTTTCTTCCAAATATGTAATTCATGTTAAATATTATGGTTTAATATTTTATTATATACATTGGGAAGTTTAGGAAACTAACAAAAAGTCTAAATTACCTGCCCAGTATGGCCAACATATAGGGTGGCTGGTACCAGAACCCAGGTGCAATGAATTATAATCCCAGGCTCTCTCACCTCATCATTATTCTTTTCCTGATTACTGTCTATGAACGTGGTGTGCTGGCACATGGTGGGGGTGGGGGAGAGATGGGATGGAGATCCCTGCTATACAGTTTCTGCCCACTTGCACTCCCATTGTTGCTGATGCTCTGTGCCTCTGACACTGGGCAGGGAAGAGGCACAGGGGCAGCTCTTGCAACCAGCAGGAGCTAGGTCCAGCACACCACCAGGTTTGAAATAGTACCTCTCAGGTGCTGGTGTCAAGATTTCAGCAGATCAAATGAGTTATTTAGGGTGCTGTTCTTTAATGTCTCATACCTTTTGATTTTTTCTGAGTTCCCGATCGTTTGGTTGGCAAGTAAAATGTCTGGATAAAAAGAAGAGGGTATTGATATGATCTCCAATGACCCAAATTTCAGTTGCCTTTTGAATCTATAAATGGAAGTAAATGGAAGTTTAGCTGGATATTTAATTTACCAAAATAACATAAATACTTACAAATAAATTCTTTATGCATGTTCATATAATATTTTGATTTGAATTATTTTTTATGTTGGTACATGATATCAGTATCATATAACTACCACTTTTTAGCCAAAATACTTATTTTGTAAAGTAATAATATATCAAATGGCATACCAAAAAATTAAAATATACAATCTAAAATTAATTTCCTCATAAAAAATTGCAAATAACAAGCAATATTGTGAAAAACAGGTCATGCTAAGGGGAGGTCAATGACACAAGTTGTAACCCTACTTATTCATTAAATCATTATTTATTTAAAAAAGAATGTTTTTACAGTTTATACTAAGAGATGTACTCTGACATTCAAGATAATGGAACTGATGGATTATGATAATACAAGAAAGTAAAGTATAAGTTTGAATTTATTAAGAGTTCTACTAAGCAGTCATGCAGCTCCTGAAACCAGACAGCAATGTGGGTTAGTCTAACTCTAATCCACAACCCTTTGGAAGATTATTTGTGCCTTTTAGCATCTATACTTTTGAAAGTTAATATTGCTAGACCAAAAAGTACATCATAAATACATAAAACACTACTCACAAATGCTAGGTAAGTACTCTATCACAGAGCTACATCCCCAGCCCTCTCATATAAATCCTGTACTATTGGGGCAAAGGATGGGAGACCAGGTAGAACATTATAAATGGGCTTCCTTCAAAGATAAGTAATATGATCTTAAGTGATATTTAAATTTAGGCATTGTGATGTTTATTAAAATGTAGTATCTCAAGAAAATGTTTACCTTTTACTACATAATTTTGTTTTAAATCAAGGACTGGAAGGGTGGCTTCAGTGGTAGAGCACTTGCCTGCCTCACAGGAGGCCCTGGGTTCAACCCCCAGTATTGTGAAAAAGAAAAATGACAAATCAGAGTAAGTTTTATATACATAATCCCAATAATGTGAAAAATTGGAAATTGCAACCATTACAACCGAATGTATAAATTGCCATCATGTTTAGTTACATAACAGCATTTTGCCTCAGTGACACTGTTCACATTGCAGTCGCCATGGCCACCAACTGTGAATAACTGAGCAAAACACAAACTTCACCGCCAGCTCTTCAGAGCACAAGCCACCATGTAAAGAACAGGCGTGCACTGCCACTAATGATGTCACTTCCGTCAATGTCTGCTGGGGACTAGTCATGTGATCTGTTGTCCAGTTCCCTTACAGAAGGCAGAAAAAGGATTGTGTTGCTTTCTCCCAATGGTAAAGCAAATCCATGTGACATTCATCAAAACAGGGAACTGGCTGACAGATGAAAGCACAGAAGCGATAATACCAAAAGTGAATTTGGATGTGGGAATATTGACACCTCCACTGTTTGAGTGACTCTAGCTGTGCTGCAAATGAAGATTTGCAAAGGTGAATTCAGTATAAATATGGGAAGTGGTTGACAAGACTGCTGCATAGGAATCGATGTGTCTAAAACTGCACATTGAAGAAACTCATAGACATTTCACGACACTAAAAATGCAAATGACAACAGAGGGAACCTGATTCAAACACAGAAAGGGGCAGCACAATTTTCCAAAGCACCCAAAAGATGCTCACTCATGACAAGAGGAAGCAGGCACCCCTTCATAAGTTTTCTAAATGCAATAAAACGCTTTAATGCTCAATAATTTTAATGTTTTAAACCACAGTGTAGTAAATTAGCTTTCCAATATTTTTCACTTTTCTATACATTTATAGTTCACAGTAAGAGAATACTATTCTGACAAATGTTTACAGATTATGAGATAATCTCACAATTGTTGATGTTTAAGATTTGCCTGATATGGTTAATTCCTTTCTTTCTTTTTCTTTCTCCCTCTCTTTCTTTCCTTCCTTCCTTCTTCCTTTAGTGGTTCTGGGGTTTAAACTCAGTGCCTCACACTTGCTGGGCTGGTTCTCTACCACTTAGCCACACTCCCATTTTTTTTTGCTTTAGTTTATTTTTCAGGACAGTTCTCACTCTTTTTTGTCTTACACAGATCCTCCTACCTACACCTCCCATGCAAGCTTGCACTACCAGGCCCCCTTTATTGGTTGAGATGGGAGGGGTCTTTCTAACTTTTTGCCCAGGCTGGCTTTGAACCAAGATCCTCCCAATTTCCACCTCCTAAATACCTGGGATTATTGGCATGCACCACCATACCCAGCCCTCATATGGTTTCAGTTTTGCACAATCATGTTAAGGTTCTAAAATAGCTCATAGATCAAAGATTGCCTGGATATGTGAAGAAACACACACACATAGAAGAATGTGAGTATTATGTAAGAAGTATGTATTGTGATTGGGATAAGAACAGGACATTGTGTTAAAGAGAAGGTGGGGCTTTAAATCCAGAAAATTCTGTACCAACTTTGCCACTGTCACTTACAGACTTTGAACAGGTAATTTAATCTCTCTGATCTTCAATTTCTTCATCTGTAAAACTGAAATAGTAATGCAAGGAATAGATTTCTGGGGTAAGATGTCAGGATAGAAATATTCCTCATGTGACTGCAAGTGAGAAGGCTCAGGGCAACAAAGGAGATTCTATATTCTGAGAGAAGAAAGAGAGGAAGAATTCTGAGAATCAAGAAAGAGGTGATGGGAAAACACAGAGAAAAGTCTGAAGTGGTCCTTTACTCCAGTGGGCTCCCAGGAGAGGGGAGCTGGACCCACGGACAGCCCTGGAGATAGACACAGAGCAGACCAGCACTCATAGCCATGGGAGAAGCCCACAGCATTTTACAAACTTTACATCCACTCCAGGGATTTGACTGAAAGTGACTGCTCCACATGGGAAGTGGGCTCTGAGAATAAATTCATTTTTGCTGTCCACCTCTCAGTGCAAAAAGCAGGCACCATCTTGAGAAGAGGCCTGTTGCTAGGGACTAACCCTGAGAGGATCAGGAAACACAGAACAATCACTATTCAAATCTCTGGGGAGCACCCTACACAGTGACTGGTGGGAGATAGCCACCAGTGACAGTCATAGAGAGGAGGAGGGCATGGGCTATGGAAGGTGCAGTGGTCACCAGCCCTACCCTCTGTGGTGAGGAGCAAGACTCACCACATATGATTTATTGCAGGGCTGGGTTGGAAAGGAACAAGACCAAGGTCAGCAATTGCTCAGTTCCCACATCCCCATCCCCTAGTGCAGGACTCAATGTTCTGTTTGTTCTCTGCTCCCTGAGGCATTCAGGAATGTGTCACGGCTTGGACATTTTCCATAGCCTGGGGTGCATGGGCTGAGGACCTCTGGAGCAAATGAGCACCTGCCCACCATTAGCCCTGAGGCTCGGTAGGGGCAGTTGTAGTTCCAGGTGCACATAAAAAACCTTTCTGGAGGCAATGCAGCCCCACCACTGACAACATACTCTTAATCTGCCTGACAGGAACCACAGGTAGGGCTCAGCCTACCTCCCACACCAATAACCAAACTGGTAGAAACGACAGGAATTACCACAAGCCTCACCTTTGCCTCTCCCCACCCCAGCTCTCTACCATACAGATTTCAACATTAAAAGACTTAGCAAGATACTTCTCCAGTCCAAATACCGTGGCTGGGAGGAATTTTTGACTCAAGTTTTTCCTTCTCAATATATTTTATTTTAATATAATTTTATTTATTGGATTAAGTTTTTTAAACAGGTTTTACTATGTAGCCAAAGTAGGTCTCTAACCTGTAATACTCCTGCCTCAGCCTCCCAAGTGCTAGAGATTATAGACATGAGCCACCATGCCTGGCAGTTTTTAATTCAATTTTTTTTGGCAGTACTGGAGTTTGAATTTGGGGCCTTGTGCTTGCTAGGCAAGTGCCCTACCACTTCACCTATACCTCCATACTTTTTTTGCTTTAGTTTATTTTTCAGATAGGGACTTGTGCTTTTGCCTGGGACTAACCTTGGACCATGACCTTCCACCTAGCTGGGATTACAGTTGTGTGTTACCATGACCAGCTTAGTTTTAAAAATAGGGTCTTCCTGACTTTTTCCTGGGCTAGTCTCAAACCCCAATCCTCTTTTCTCTGCTTCCCATGTAGCAGGGCTTATAGGTACATACCATGATGCCCTCTTAGTTCTTTAGTTGAACTTTTATCTCTTCTTCTTTTTCATTTTTTCTTTGTCTTTATTCTTTGTTTTTTTCCCCCTTCTCAAACTCTTTAGTTCATTTTATATTATTTTTGCTCCTTTCTTTTCTATTGTTATTGGTGGTATAGCTTTTGTTCTTAATTTGTTTTTCCTATATTTCTGTATCTGTTTATTTTTGTGGTGGTGTTGCTGTTATTGTGGTTTGTTTTCTTCTTGTGAGCAGTACTGTGGACCAAGCCCTCAAGAGACGGCTTCTCACTGAGAAAACTCCCACATAAATGGGAAAGAGAATGCTGGTTTCCTGTGGCTCATGACTGTGATCTAACTACTTGGTAGATTGAGATCAGGAGGATTGTGGTTTGAAGCCAGGCTTAGCCAGTAGTTCACAAGACCCCATTTATGCTAGGCAGGTGCTCTACCACTTGAGCCACTCTGCCAGCCCCCTTCCATGTCATATTATAGCTGAACCACCAAAGATACAGAAAAATGAAGACTCAAGAGAAAGGTGCCAAGTTACTTACAAAGGCAAACTCGGCAGAACAGCTGCAGACTTCTCTGCAGAAATGCTAAGGCCAGGAGGAGATGGAATGATTGACTTCAAGTCCCAAAAGAAAATTGCTTCCAACCGAAATCACTATATTTGGTAAAGTTATCCTCCAAAATTGAAGCAGAAATAAAGACCTTTCAAGATAAGCATAAAATGAAGCATAAACCAGCATTAGGAAGATATTTAAAGGAATCCTACACACTGAAAAGGAGGCAAGGTCAACACAAGCATTGAGCATAAAAAGAATAAACCCCATGAGAAGAGTAGATAAGCAAACAAGAATTAGGAAA